TCTAGTTTGTGTTTTCTTTCTTTCTCTATGACTTGAATCTCTAATGGTTTTTTAGGGAAGATGAAACCTAGTTTATAGGTTGTGTACGAATGGGTGAATGAATGAATGAATTTGTTTATCTAGTTGATTCTTATGTTTTCCTAGCTTCGATTGTGTTTGCGTGAGTCGCCATAATCTTCTCTACTAGCCTACTTGAGCTAGTATGTTGGGTATGGAGTTTTAGGGTTAGACGGGTATGCGCCATCAAGCAAATTAAGGTTAGATGTATGAATAGGATCCAATGGATGGGTAGTATTAATTGAAACAGGAATGCTTTCCTAGATAGAGCCCGGGATAAATCCTCGGTGTGGACGGTGGGTAGTACCCATTGAAAGGAGCTACGAGCTTAATGCCCCTGATACGATAGCCTAGATTGAGGTGAATTTATATGGGTATAGGAGAGGCATACTCGTAGGCGTGTGGATAACCATGAAAGCCCACAGAAAATAGCTCACTCACTACATTATCTGAACCCTACATGACAATCGTAGCTATGATGATTCGACCCTAGACAATTGTCCGACCTCTAGCAACCTCCCAACTACTTGGTTGATTTTTTATTACCCCCTAAAGAGTAGATTAGATTAGTTTAAACACCCAACCATTTGATTAGATTAGATAGTAGTTCAGAGCGAAGTAATAGTAAGCTTAGGGTTCCCTTGGAATACGGTCGAGCCACTTTACTACACCCCTAGCTAGGTTATGCTCGGTCTACTTAGTATTGAATATAAAGTGTGCATCGAATTATACATTTAAAGCTCAATAATGCAAGCGATCACCCTTTAAAAACTCAACTCGAACACTATGCCAGGTTGCCTCTCACGTGAGAACCTCAATTTTTCAATATATATTTTTCAAATTGGAGCTGCTTTTGCAAAAAATTTTGGAATTCTAAATTGGAGAGTGCGACACACATGTCCTAACCTCCATATCAAACACGTTCACACAACTGAGAGAAAATTAAAGTAAAGCAACTCATTATCAATAATTTTCAAGGCGCCACACTATTACCTATAATGCACATCATCATAATCATCAAATACTTCAAAACACACTGAGCAAGATCAGGTTAGGGACATTTGTGATAGGAACCCTTAAAATTTTCAATGTCAAGTAATAATCTAGGTTACACAACACATCTCAATATCGACCATTCATCGTTCATTCATACACAAGTTATTGGAGCACTCAAATTGTAGAAATTTGGCAAACACAAGGTCCAACACATTCAAAAAGGCTATTCACACTGACTAACCCGCCAATCACAAATATATGTACCCCCCCAAGACACATAAGCATGACATTGACCCCAATGGAGCAAAGAGAAGGATGAAACGAATTTCCCGAATAAATTGGTGAGTGAAAGTCACACCGACGATAGACTAGTTTCGAGGGGGAGAGAGCTTCACAAGGAGATTAAAACAAATACAAACATATACTCGCACAAGGGGGAGAGAGCTTCACAATAAAAGAAAAGAAAAACTCAATAGTACGAGTTCAACACACACAAAAATAACAAACTAAGTGTTTAGAGTCGAGGTGAGGATAAAGAGGGTGGAAGTACTAGGGTACCAACATGACACTCATGCAAAGACTACCCCTAGAGAGTAGGTTATGGTTGCCACTCTGGGTCCTCGATGTGAATGCCCTAAGCACATGAAAGCTCCTCTACCAAGAGATGGTAATGTCGTCAGGCGTCTCGCTCTCGAGCGATTTGGGAAGAAACATAAGAAAACTGGCACTCAAAGGTTGTGACTTGGACCTCTAGGTCACCCAAGGAGGAGGGTCAGGGTCATGATGATGCTTCGGCATGGAGATGGCGATGTGATGGTGGTCGAGCTCTCCGTGATGGCTATTTTTCTTCCTCCACTACTTAGCCTAAACAAAGCAGAAGGTTGGAGGCCTTCGATGTACTCGATACCCCGGTCAAGTCAAACTAGGCTCATGTGGTAGAGTGTCTCCACCAGGAGAATCTCAGTAGGCCTCACCTTAGTGCAAATGTTAATTTCCACCCTGAAGTATCAGGTGATTATGGGGCCCAAATGCATGGTGTAGACTCGAGGTCGACACCTAATCCTAGAGAAATAAGTTGCCATCATCGATCCCAAATGGAGAGACTCTCAGGGTCAACCCATTGTGTGCAAGACGACCATCCCAATAAGGGTGACCTGTCCCCTAGCAAGGAGACTCTTGACCACTAAATGGCTTATCAACATGTGGAGGATGCTCCTCAAGAGCATGAACTGCGAGCGAAAGCGTTTTGGTGACCTAGAAGCGTAAAATTGTAAGCTTTTAAGTTTTAAAGCACGATTTTGACTGCATTGCTCATAAAGAGTAGGTGGGATGGTCACTTGAGTTTGTCCTTCTTATCCAGCCATTGATGGTGCTCAAGTGTTTGAAGAGGCTCCTTCTTCTTCTGAATCAAAGTTCTACTCTTAGTCAATGTTTTCTTCCTATCCCTAGCTTGTTTCAAGATCGGTGTGGCTTGAAGGCTCTTTTTTCTCCTGAGCTAGATGCTCCTCCCTTCATTCTCAAGATGGGTGAACTCGTCGCTCCTCCTTCTTGGATAATCCTTTGCACAATCTTTAGGGTTTCAGTTTTTCTTCTAGTACTAATTTGACTCATATGACAATATGCAAAACCAGAGAAACTTAAAACTAAAGAAAGATACAAGATGGTTACATGTTTTTATATATGATTAGAAATTCTCGGCAACGACACAAAAAACTTGATGTCAGAATCAAAGTTATAAGCCTAGGATGTCCTAGGGTTGTATTCATGGGCGGAGCTAGGCGGAGCCTCGGGTGAGACCCATCCCCCCCCCCCCCCCCCCCCCCCCCCCCCCCCCCCCCCCCCCCCCCCCCCGAAAATTTTGAAACTACGTACAAAATCTCTTCGGATTGTGAAAAATTACGTATAAAATAGATGTTAGAGTATTAATTGTGTGCACAATAATGTGACAAGAAACTAAAGGGCGGACGAGTGGTAGAAGAGTTGATCTTTCAAATTGGGTGCATGTGTTCTAGTGCCCATTTTTGACATTTTCAAGTTGTGAGCATTCTCACCTAAACTACAACAAATTAAGTGTTATTTTGCTCTTTCCATATTGAAATAAGCCAATAAATTGTTTGAAAATGATAAAAATGAGCTACATATTGAAATGCATGATTAATTTTTTCGTAATTTAATAATTTGTTTTGACCATATCACATAGTAAATAATTATCTCAATTCTTGTTTTGTTATGATAATAAAAATTCTATAAACTTTTTTTGTCATGGTAAACTAAACAACTTCGACCCTCCGAGATTCAAATCCTAGCTCCGCCCCTGGCAATATGAATTATGATTATCATCTTGTACATGAATCTTGGGAGCAGATGTGATTTGTGCCCAAATGTACACATTTTACGCCTCATTTCTTATCCGTTTAGCTTAGTATTTCATAGTTCCTCGACATATTTCACGCTAGGTTGTGCTTGTTTTGATACATTTCAGGTCCTAGCAAGTGTGGAAGGGTCGAAGACGAGTTTTGGGATATTTGGAGGACAAAAAGCGCAAAAACCGAAGAAAAGTCTGAAGCGACCGTGATAATTGCATCGTAACAGTGAAGTGAAGGCGTCCAAGGAAACAACCGCAGTTCATGGCCGGACGAGGCAGTTCACGGTCTCCTAAGACCGTGAACTTTGAACAGAAATCGTGAATACCGAGGCATCCAACGAGGTTTTTGAAGTTACTGACGACAAGTCAATTCACGGTCTCTAAGACCGTGAACTGTGGTCATTGACCGTGAACCCAGGACAATGAAGCGGTGCGTTTTGGATGACGCTGAGTTCACGGACACGTTTAGGTGTTCACGGCCGTGAACTGATCGCTTTCGGGCAAATATGAAGACATCAGTGGGGAGAGAGAAAGGAGGGCTGGTTTTTGGAGAAGAAACAATTTCTTTCTCTAGGGTTTCAACCTAAACACCAAAGGGCAGTTCTAGTGAGAGAGAGAGAGTGCTAGAGTAATCTTGGAGAATCATTGGAGGCTTGGGTGGAAGATTCAAGCCTAGAAAAAGAAGAAGATCTTGAGCTCAAATTTGTAATCCCCCTCTCTCTCTCTAGAAACTCACTCTTTTTCTCTTGGGTGCTGTAGATCCCTAACTAATACTTTGTACTTACTTGTTTAGATTGAATGATTGTCATTGGATAGTGTTTAATTCAAGGATTGAGGTATTATTCATGTCGATTGTGCATGCTCGTGCTTAGCAATCTAAGGGTTGTGCATATTTTGTGCTTAGCATCATTAGGTTTGTGCATTGAGGTGCTTAACAACCTAAGGATTGTGCATAATTGTGCTTAGCACCCTTAGGTTTGTGCATGTTGGTACTAGCAATCTAATTAGTCACTTTAACCTAGATTAATTTAGGGTAAACCTCAATGTTTAATTAAGCAAATTGGTTAAGCGTGATTATGACGTCCAACCTTGAGTTGAGTGAGGGAGTAAGTCAACTACCGATTGTCTAAACCGAGAGGGTTGAGTGACAAGGCCTTTCATGCTTACCTCGGTTTAGCAATTGAGACTGCGGTCTCCGACCACATATGCATCCCTTTGCGGTACGCGGTTACCAGTTTGCACCTAGGCTGGCTATGATTAAGCCGCTCAAACTCCGGTTTGTGGAAGAGACCTAGGCGACCACTAGAGCCTGAGTGAGAGGATCGATCTCGTGACAAATCGATCTCTAGCGAATCCATCCCGTGACAAATGGATCGCTAGTTGCTCCTCCTAGCGGTTCCCCTAGACATGGTGAGTGGATCGATCTCGTGACAAATCGATCGCTAGTGAATTGATGTCGTGACAGATTGATAACTAGTTGCTCACCCCCGAGGTTTACAACCACCTACTCCTCGCGCCTTCATTCAATCCAACGAGTCATGTAGCTAGTTAGGGGGAAGCAATTCCTGGGTGAAGCTCCCTTAGTTAGAATTTTCCTTTATTTACTTTTCTTTGCTTGGTTAGTTTGTAGTTCCAATAAACCTAAACTCTAAAGTTGCTTGCTAGATAACAACTTAAACGATCGAAGTAGGGGTAAATGGACCGGCCCGGGTTGACAATTTATATACTTGCTCTATGCTGCCCCGGCTAGAGTTTAAAAACTTGGGCTCTAGTCGGGAGAACGGACTATGCTTGGATACCGGGGCAAAGAGTGGGATGGGAACGGGCTCCACGCCATTGAACCCTAAGAAAAGTTTAGTTGGGACTTTTGTAGATGATATATGCGTTGTTTATGATTCTTGTTAGGATTATTAGAGGATTCTGAATCTGAAGTAAGTGTTGTGTGGCCTACTGATATTCTTCTCCAAACCCAAATATTCTGTTTGGCGAAGTGCAAATGAAACAAGTTCGTGCAATATTGATGACAATCTTTGGGAGATGTTTAATACAGAAGATTTCCCTCATAATTAAGTTAGCGAGTGCTTACATTCTTGGTTTGCTCTCGCTAAGGATATACCATAGTTAGCATATTCTCTAGACAGTAGTAGTTAAATTAGGTGGAATGTCAGCCTGATTGTCTGTAGAACTTTGGTCCTTAATTGTTACAGCTGCAGCTGAAGCTTGATGAATTGTCAGATCATGTTGATGATGGTTATGATCATTGTAGTTTCCTCTGTCGCCGCATGGAGTTTGGGTGGTGGGAATCACTTGTAGTTCATCGGGCTTTGAAGGAGCGATTTGATCATCGTAGTCCTTGCTTTTACCCCAAACTACCAGATACAGCCCTGCTACTATGATTGCAGCTCCTACTACCCTGTTGTTCATTGGATGAAAAGAGAGTGAGTTATAGGTAAATTTGTATGGCAGAAATTGTGATGACTGGCATGGCATGGTTGGTACCTTCCGAGAAACATTTGTTCTGCAAAAATGATGGAGCTGATTATGGCCACCACCACCATGCAGAGCGGGCTGAAAGCCGTGACGAACACAGGGCCTCGAACTCTCATCACCAACCCTTGAATGTAATAAGCCAATCCTGAGCACACCACCCCCTGCATTATGTCTTGGTTAGTGTCTTATTTATGAATGATGCATGATTTTGTGAATCTGATGATCATCTCCACATACACTGTATACTGCGGCAAGGAGCTTGGTATCCCAGTTGAGAGCCCAAACTTGAGGGTTCCCTCTTTCCATCACAAGCGCCACTATGGCCCCTTCTATGGTGCCCATTAGGCAAATCAAAGCAGTCAAAGACAGTTCAGCTGGATAGGTCTGGAGAGTGATGGCCTGGAACAAAATTAATTAGCCCAAAAGATGACAGATCTAGCTAGAGACACATTTTGTTCAGTACTAGTAGTAGCTCCTAGGGCAAAATTAAGTTAGAGTTTCCGACACACACACCCACCTGCAGAATCACAAAACCGGCCCAGCTAAATGCCCCTACGGTGATGAGAAGGGCACCCTTGATGGAGCTGTGGAGGTCAACCCCAGCAGCCCCCTGCCCGGCGTGGAAGGTCCTGCCCTTTGTCCACAACAACTCCACCACTGGACCTTTGATTAGTGTCATCACCATGGCTCCTGCGACCGTCGCCATCGTCCCCGTCACCTTTGCCTGGCTGTGGACAGACTTGAGTCGGACCTTCTCCAGCCTACAAAACCCCAACCAGTAAGTACCAAGTAAGCTACGCTAGCTAGGCAATGAAGAACGCGATCCATTGATTCGTTTGAAAGAATTCATTTACCCGACTATGCAAGCCATGACGAAGGTGATGGCAGGAAGGATGTTGATTATGGCCGCCGCAAAAGTAGCCGTTGTGTACTTCATCCCTAAGAAGTACAAGTTTTGGTCTATCACAGGCCTATGTCACAAGCAGGGCAACCAAGTGTTAGTAAGCCTTTTTTTGGTAGAAATTAAAGTAGGAGGGACTTACTCTAGTAAGCCGAGCACCATTATCTTGATCATTATGGACCATCTCATCTTGGGTCTTACTTTCCTAATCAAATTTTACGTGCATGAAACACATTAATTAAGCTTCGCACACAGAATTGCATGTCATGGATGAAGAACAAAAAGAGATGTAGGAATTTCGTACAAGAGATTTGGATTACCTATCAAAAATGAGGGCAAACGGGGCAATGACAAGAGTGGCGACCGCATGACGATAGACAACGAGCACGTAGTTGCTCATTCCTTGGTTCAGGGCAGCTTTGGACAAGATGTCCATTCCGGCAAGCCCGATTTGCAAGAATGTGATGGCAATGAATGGCTTCGACCTTTCCAAGAGACCATTTGGTGCCCCGTTGAGAATCGTCATCGACCCTCGGCTTGTGCTTGTGCTTGAGTTTGGTTTTTGCCCAAGAGATCGAGACAAGTTGAAGGCAAAGCTAGCTGCTTATATGATGGGGGGAAACCATAAATAAAGCTCTTGGCGTGTTTGTGCAACCTAACTGATCAAGTGTGTTGGGTGTTGGCATGGATATAATATGCCTGTGTTCTTCTTATATATATATAAATAAATATAGCTCCATTCCATTCCATTATGATGCGGCAAAGGAGGCTTTAAGAAAAAGAAGATGAAAAAAAAAACGAGAGTCCAATGGTGTTTGCTCACTCAGACTTATTGGTGGTTGCTGAGTAATGTTTTAACACGTCATGTTTTAGTGCTTTACTTTTGCTGCATTATATATACCCCTAGCTAGGTTGCATTATGTGATGTACAGGTTTCACCCAAGATTCTCTTCTTCGCAAAATTTACGTCTGATAACACTTTGTAGATGCACACAATGAACAGTTTGGAGATCATCAATCAATTAGGAATCCAAGAAAGAAGAATCAATTGTAGAAATTGAATCCTGATAATGCAAAAGAAAAGAAGAAAAAAAACAGAGCCGGTTTCGGTTTGGAACATGGATTGGGACAAGGGACGTAACTGTACTTGGATACCACGGCAACGAGTGGATGGGAACGGATTCCACGTCATGCAACAAAACCAAAAGCCAGTTTGATTCTGATTTCCAATTACTTGTATAATCTCTTCTCCTGTGCAACAACACATGTGGAGTAGTGACTATGAAACGACTTAATTTGTCTCTGCAATTTGCCACCATCTTCACTTCCTCCACATACTCACTCTGCTTTCTCTACCTAGCTAGTGTCTAAAACAAAACCCAATTTCTCTTCTTTTTTCCTTCTTTCTTTCATCAATGCTCAATCAAAACCAACAACACACTTGTCCCAATCCAACTACTTAATTAGTTCTCAATACCAAACTGATCCCCTTTGTTGATATTCTCAGTAGCTATATATCCCTTTCATTGCTCAAAGAGGTTAGTCATCTTTTGCGTATTGTATAATCCATTTACTGTTAATATTCAGCTAGTGCGAGTTATTAGCCCAAACAAAAAACAAAAAAAAGGTTTTCGCAAAGATGAATCAAATCAACCACTAATTGTGGCATTATATGTGGTTATAGAAATTTTTGATAGATGAAGCTTACCCAATGGATGATAAAAGGCCTTTCTATTGGCCAGCTATACTCATTTACTTAAATTATTATTAATACTAGTTTTTAGGCCCGCGCTCCGCAACGGTAATTATATTTAAAATTTCATATACTTATTTTATAATAAAGTTGCAATCAAATAATTCACAAAATCTTTCAAGTTATATATACCCATAAGTTTTACTTAATGTTAGAATACCCATAAGTTATACCCATAAAGATTCATGCCATGGATTTATTTAATTGATACATAAGAAATCATTATTCCGTTATAAGCTTTACATACTATCTTAATAATTTCGGAAGATTTACGTAATAAGTTTATTTAATTGATACATAAAAAATAAATATTCATTTATAAATTTTGTATAGTCTATTTGTAATTTGTATAATTGTTATAGAAGGGTGTTATGTAAATCTTCTGTAATGTGTGTTCTAATAATAAAATTAAGTTTCAGAATGCTTCACATTTGACAAAATGGTAATGTAAAATTTAATTGACCTTAGAAAACATTTGTGTAATTTAAATTGATAATATGGTAAATTTTTTATTAAGAATGAAGTACTTTTAGTTAATAATAAAGTAATTAAGTGACAGAAAGAATCATATTTGATTAAAATGTCATGTAAAAAAACTTACATAATTTTTTAATAATGAAAATTGAAGAGATGGTCAATGGTTTAGTTAATAATAAAAAAAAAATTACTTAAAATTATATTATGAAAGACTTGTGTACTGTATATGTTTAACTGACACATGAGAAATATCAACACATCCATAAATTTTTCGTGTGTATTTGTAATTTACATAGTTCCTATATATAATGTTGTGTAATCATACATAATGTGTGCATTAATAATAAAATCAAGTTATTGAACGGATCACATCTTTTTGAAACTATTATGTAAAAATTAACCGACTTTACATAATCTTTGTGTAACGCAATTGATGACATGGTCACTATTAACTTGATAATAAAAAATTAAGTTATGTAAAGTATTGTATTTGATTAAAATATTATATAAAACTTTTTACTTTGTTGAACCTTAGTGTTGGCAAATTGATTAGGCAAATTGATGAGATGGTCAACAATTGAGAAATAAGAAAGGAATGTTCATTCAAACTTAATATTAACATGATTTTTATGTTGGCAAAAAATAAACGCACAATGACCTAGCAAAATCTTTATGCAATGTAAATTGATAAGATGATCCACAGCTTAGTCAATAACAAATGAATTTTTGTTCATTATATTACGGAAGACTCACTTAATAAGAAACAATTATCCATCATAAAACTTTACTTAGTATATTAATAAATACAGAAGGTTTACATATAATTGATGATAATAATGGCTGATTAAAATAGTTGCTCTAAGAAGAAGGGGACCGAAATAATTGGTGGTAAAAAACATGGTCCAATTAGAAGGAAAAAAGGACCAGAAGTTTTAGTGGGTTCGGCCACACCTACTCACATCACTAATGAATAGTAATTTGGGGAGAGATTTTCTTGGGGAACAGTAAAATTAATTCCGACTTACTTGCGTCTTTAATTAATTAAAGTTTTGTGTATATTATCTGTTAGGGTGCGCCTACGGTGACATGCATGTCACGGTGACTTGCGCTTTTCGGTCGACCTCAGTTAGGATTAGGTCGACCTCATTTAGGATTAGGTCGACCTCATATAGGATTAGGTCGACCTTATTTAGGATTAGGTCGACCTAATCGGTTGTTTCATTGTAAAAACAGTTTCATGGTGTCTACTTTGGAGATTCATATCTTACAATAGGCTCGATGGAAATTTGAGATTAATGGCTTGTTTTGAAGCTAGAGTGTTCCTCTACACATTGAAGTGCTTGGGAGCTCGATAGAAAGTCCAGAAGATCATTTTTGAACTTGATCAAAAGGCTATGCCAAAACTGGGAAAATGGCTGAAAATGGCCAAGTCTAGGAACGTGTTAGTGAAGTCTACTTTGGAGCTCAATTCAAGAAGCATGAATGTGAGTCGAGTCCAGGGGCCTCTACCACGTTAAATTAGGTATGTTTTTATACAAAGTCAAGGAATTGGATCAAAGATTGGATATCTGTAAGGCTTCAAACAAAAGGGTCGAAGTTGCTACGAAAACTGTTTTTCTGGCAGACTTCTAGCACAAGCAAGCTGCCAGAAAAACAACCTTCGTATCAACTTCGACCTTTTTGTTTGAAGTCTTACAGATATCCAATCTTTCATCCAATGCCATGACCTTGTATAAAAACATACCTAATTTAACGTGGTAGAGGAACTGAACTCGACTCGCATCCATGCTTCTCGAATTGAGTTCCAAAGTAGGCTTCACAAACACGTTCCCAGACTTTGCCATTTTCAGGCAATTTCCCAGTTTTGGCATAGCCTTTTGATTAGGTTCAAAAATGGTGTTATGGACTTCTTATTGAGCTCCCAAGTACTTTAATGTGTAGAGGGACACTTCAGCTTCAAAACAAGCCATTGATCTCCAATTTCCATCTAGCCAATTTTAAGATATGAATCTCCAAAGTAGGCACCATGAAACTATTTTTTACACTGAAACAACAGATTAGGTCAGCCTAATCCTATATGAGGTCGACCGAAAAGTGCATGTCACCGAGACATGCATGTCACCGTAGCAAAGTCCTATCTGTTATTGTTTTTATTTATTTTTCTATCTGCTATCCAAATTTTGACTACTAGGAGGACCACTACGTTTAGTCTGTGCGTGACTTGTCCCGAATATCACAATAAAAATTTCAATTAAAAGGCCCAACTATAAACCTTAACCGGGTGTAATATAGGGCAAGTATGTGTAAATATCAACCCGAGCCGAACCATATACCCCTACTTCGATTGTTTGAAACATTATCTAGAAATTGGTTTTAAGTAAAAACAACGATCTATAACTAAAACGTTTGGAAAAGTAAATAGATTAGACATTAATTGAGAAGGTTTCACTCAGGTGTTACTCCCCCTAGCCAAAATAGTCAAAATCGGAATTTTACCTAAAATCGAGAAGGTTTCACTCAGGTGTTACATACCTATAATAATATTAATAAGGTAAATCATTAATAACACAAAGACACATAACATTTAAAATTATAATTCTCAATATTTTTTAACAAAAGATAATTCTCAAGATTAATGATCCAAAATTACTATTTTAATTGTTATTTAATGCGTAAATCAAAATAATTCATGAGGAAGGGATAAAGCCCAATGGGTTTGTCTCTTGTTTTCATGCTGTGTCTAGGTAGTTTAACTCAAAGTAATATTCCAACATCGTCTAAGTATGATATAAAAGTAAAATTATTTGAACTCTAATAAAATAAGTAATGCTAGTGGCTTGGTACAAATATATTCATTAATAAACTAATTAGTTAATAATGATGTTAATTCTTACGTACTTCCAATATTAGGACAATTGTTTTACCAATAAGTTAAATGGGGCGCGGGGAAAGGGATTGAACGAACCCTAATTGGGTAATTTTTATTATTTTTAAATTTTTTTAATAGACAAATATCAGAGAAGATTCTCACGATTGCCCTTTCCATCGAAACAGTTATGCTTCTTTTAAATTGGCTCAAATCACCTATTTTTTTCTTATACGATCAAAATCCTAATTTTGGTACGATTTTATGATTTTAATCCCGATTTTAAGGTCCACTGATTTTATAGTAAAATCATGATCGGAAACAGTTAGTAAAATCATAAAATCCTACGATTTTACGATCAAAATCCCGATTTTGGCTGCATTGACCCTAGCAAAAAATAATGACTTGTCGGATCAGATTCATAGGTCTGGGAAAAGCGGTTGTAAACATTTGGGAAGTGCAACTAGTGATCAAACACTACTCTCTCGGTCAATAGACCAAGCGTTTCCAATTCCAACTACCAAAGTAGATCTCTTGACCTATCAACCAAGTGTTGCCTAGACTTCACCCTCGAATCGGAGTTCGAACGACCAAATTACAACCAACCTTAGGTTCTAATACAAATTAAAAGGTTTGCACTAATTTAACCTAAGTAGGAGATAAAGATTGTCCAAGGAAATCCAGCTTTTACAAGTCGCTACTCAAAGGAGATTCCCCTCTACATAGATTAAAATAGCATAAGACATTGAAATGCACAAACACAATCAATCT